TATTTTCTGTCACTCAGTTGCCTGTCTTTTCAATGACTTAATAGTATCTTTTGCAGGGCAGCTAATTTTGATAAAATCCAATCTATTGATTTTTTAATTTCATGGGTTGTGCTTTCCAAACCCATTCATTTGGTTTTGCTTTGGGCTTAGGATATTAAACAGCCTCTTCTAGGAACTTGCAGTTTCAACCCTTTTATTTATTTATTTTTGAGATGGAGTCTCACCCTGTTGCCCAGGCTGAAGTGCAGGGGCACCATCTCAGCTCACTGCAACCTCTGGCTCCTGAGTTTAAAAGATTCACCTGCCTCAGCCTCCCAATTAGCTGGCATTACAGGCATGCACCACCACACCCAGCTAATTTTTTGTGTGTGTTTTAGTAGAGACTGGGTTTCACCATGTTGGCCAGGCTGGTCTTAAACTCCTCACCTCAGGTGATCTGCCTGCCTTGGCCTCCCAAAGTGCTGCGATTACAGGCGTGAGCCACTGCACCTGGCCAAGTTTCAACCCTTTTCGATTTAAGAAACTTTGCTTATGAAACTTCGTTACATTTGCATAGCTAGGACCCTGGCCTTCTTTATACTTTGTAGACTGAAGCTGTGTTCTGGTTCTTTAAATTGGGTGAAATGAAGCTCCTGAGTAGGGTGATTCGGACCCACTGAAGACCAGATATGTTTCAATAAATGTGCCTACTGGATTTCTCTCTATGCCCACAGGATGAACTACAGGAAGACAGGGGTGGGGGATTCTGAGATCATAGAATCTGAGGTCATAGAATTTTATTTGTGCATTAGTGTGGACAAAGATTTTGGCAGTTGAAATGGGAAAAGAGGGTGGATATGAGCGTGATTATGAGGAAGGAAATGGCAGGGTTTGAAATTAGAGTTAGTGTGAAGGTAATGATACTGGTTATCTCTAGATTGTGTGGCTAAGAAAAGGCAGAGTGCTAGGAGTTCAAGTGGGAGGAAGTAGGGAGAGGTACTTACATTTGTGGTAGTAGTAGTCTTCAAGGTTATATCAGAATGGCAAGGGCATCTCATCAGCTGTGGTATTAGAGTAGATATACCCTTATTAGGTATGGAACTGTTAAAAGCATAATTACAAAGATACAGGCATTAGTGTACTTAAAGCACTGGCATGGAGTCACGTTGACTGGGCCTAGGGAAATGGTTTATAGTAATCTCAGTTTTGGTGTATCCCATTAATTTGGATTTTGTGTAACCTGAATTATAAGATTGCTTGAAATGAAACTACTTAATGCCTTAATTCCCCCAGTAGCTGACTTGTAGACAAGGATTTAAATGCAAGTATTTTGTTTTGGAGGTTATCCTTGGAAAAGCCAGTAGGGGAGTGGGAAGTGAGATAGGAGAGGGGAGACAGCAAAGATTGCAAATACAAGATTTGTTATCAACCAGGTACTGATTTTTTCACAGCATTCCCACTGAGAAACTCCAGGAGCAAATGTAAAACTTGTGTCTTATAGTTATAGTCCTTTAGGGGAAAGGTAGGTGGAGTATTTATATACCATCTCTTTCAATCATTGATTAAGATTTTTTCAGGAGGTGGTAGATCTACACGTCAGGCGTGCCACGCAGGGAACAAAATGGACTCGAGGATAGAGAAAGCCCTCAGGTGCTGTCAGGCCAGTGTACCTGGTAGGGGCTAGGGGATATAGGGACACTCTTTTGACTCCTTCCTTAATACCTTGCCATGCAGTTCCGGGATTTTCAATTTATTTCCTTTAAGACATCATTAGAAACATTTCCGCCTTAAATGAGCCATTCTAGCAGCATGTTAGGACTGGCTCCGGATGCCCTTTTTGGAACATTAAATTGTGAGTCATGGAAGAGTGGCCCATGTCAACAGACATTTCCTTGCCAGCCTTATACTTGACCTCCAAGTTCAGCACTCTCAAGATCCAGGTATGTTCTTCCAGTTCTTGCCGGTACATCTCATCATATCATACTGTGTTGGTGGATCAGTGCTTTCATCAAAAGGAGGGCCAGTACCTCCCTATTCTGACAATGCCTGGTTGTTAGCCTACAAGCAGTGAGGGAGGTAGGCACATATCTCCAGGAAGGTGGGCATCTTTGGAGGCAGGCATCCCAGCTGAGACCTCTGCATAGTTTTTAGTCGGGGGAGACCGCCCTCTTGTAGTAAGAGGAAGAAAGCTGCTTCTGGCCTGGAGGGTTCAGAAGAATCTTGTCAGGACTGTGAATTCAGTTTTGTAATTTGCTTGCTTTCACAGTAGGAACTTGAGTCTAATTTTTAGCACAGTCTGTCTGCAGGCAAAGAAATGCAGATGCTGGCAACTAGAAACTGGACAGTTAGACCTTCATGTAGCCTGGTGATGGATTAAAGGCTGCGCCTGTTCAGTCAACAGATAATATCAGTGTTATGGCTCCTGTTGAGTAACACAGTTTTCTTAGCATCAGTTTGGTGTGTAGGTCCATTCTAACACTTGGGGAACACTGTGTGCTGGGAATTGTTCTCAGCATTTGCTGTGAGTCCTCACAACAATCTGTGAGGAGGGTACTCGTGATTTATACATGATGAATCCGAGATTCAGAAGGATTAAGTAATCTTTCCAGTGTTGGAGCTAGTATTTTTAGTTTAATTGACTAAAACACACATTCTTTTTTTTTTTTGAGACGGAGTCTCGCTCTGTCACCCAGGCTGGAGTGCAGTGGTCGGATCTTGGCTCACTGCAAGCTCCGCCTCCCGGGTTTACGCCATTCTCCTGCCTCAGCCTCCCGAGTATCTGGGACTACAGGCGCCCGCCACCTCGCCCGGCTAGTTTTTTTTGTATTTTTTAGTAGAGACTGGGTTTCACCGTGTTAGCCAGGATGGTCTCGATCTCCTGACCTCGTGATCCGCCCGTCTCGGCCTCCCAAAGTGCTGGGATTACAGGCTTGAGCCACCGCGCCTGGCCACACGCATTCTTTTGTTACTCCACATTGCTTTCCAAAAGGTATCCCCTTTATGTCCATTTGACAAATGATGAACTTGAGATGCAGAAATTGAGTGACAAGGTGAGTTTCAAGGCTAAAGAAAACTATTGTTAGAATTCAGGATGCCAACTCTTTTGCCGTTGAATATCATACTGAACAAATAGCTAAATTTAATACTGGCTGGTTTTGAATGTTTACTGTTTTTAAAATTCTGTTACATGGTCTGTCACAAGGTTTCTCAGCCTCAGCACTATTGCTGTTTTGGACTGGATGATTCTTTGTTGTGGAATACTCTCCAGTGCATTGTAGAATGTTGAGCGGTGTCCCTGACCTCTGTCTACTAGATGCCAGTAGTACCCTCCCAGTTGTGACAACCAAAACTGACTGTAGATATTGCTAAATGTCCCATGGGGGCAAAATTATCCCTGGTTGAGAACCAGGCCAATCTCTAAAGGTGATTGTGTTATGACAGAACTCACCTAGAGTAATTCAGAAATGTGTTTTGTGAGCAGGGGGTTATGTTGCTTTAAAGTGTGGTGGAAAGAACATGAGCTTTGGAATCTCTTGGCCCTGCCACTTATCAGTCCCTGTATCTTTGATTAAGTAATTTGTCTTTTCTGAGCGTTTGTTTCTTCATTTGTAAAATGGGCATTATATCTACCTGATAGGGTTTTGGTGATTAAGCTGGAGGATGGTACAAGTGGAAGAATGAGGGGAAAAAAAGGAGAAAAATGATCTGTAGTAGAAGAAAGTGAAGGAAAGATACAGAAGGCAGTTGTCAAGAGAAGGAGTGAAAGGCACATTGGGAAGATCTAAGATGGCAGGTGAACGAACCACATCTACCCTCTTCCCACACTCTAGTCCCAGGTCACTGAGTCTGGAAGAAAGCTCTGAACAGGGCTGAGCACGGTGGCTCACACCTGTAATCTCAGCACTTTGGGAGGCTGAGGTGGGTGGATCACTTGAGACTGGGAGTTTGAGACCAGCCCGGCTAACATGGTGAAACTCCATCTCTACTAAAAATAAAAAAATTAGGCAGGCATGGTGGCGTGTACCTGTAATCCCAGCTACTCGGGAGGCTGAAGCACAAGAATTGCTTGAACCTGGGAGTTGGAGGTTGCAGCGAGCTGAGATCGCGCCACTGCACTCCAGCCTGGGCGACAGAGTGAGACTCAGTCTCAAAAAAAAAAAAAAAAAAAAGAAAGCTCTGAAGAGTTTATTTTCTCTCTTTCTCTCTCTTTCTCTCTCTCTCTCTCTCTCTCTCTCTCTCTCTCTCTCTCCTTTCTTCTTTCTTTCTGTTTAATTGAACTTACAGTGCCACATGGCTGGGGAGGCCTCAGAATCATGGTGGGAGGTGAAAGGCACTTCTTACATGGCAGCAGCAAGAGAAAATGAGGAAGAAGCAAAAGCGGAAACCCCTGATAAACCCATCAGATCTCATGAGACTTACTCACTGTCACGAGAATAGCACAGGAAAGACCAGCCCCCATGATTCAGTTACCTCTCTCCCACAACACATGGAAATTCTGGGAGATACAATTCAAGTTGAGATTTGGATGGGGACACAGCCAAACCATATCAGGGATTAATACCTGATTTCTTTAATATGAAATTGAATATTCATATATATTTTATGTATAAGCTAACTGTTCTTATGTCCTTTATTACAGCCTTTCATTATATTTATTTTCTAAATTATATTTAGTAACATGTTTATCGATATAAAACAGTAGAGATATGGGAAGTTACTTCAACTAATCTAGGACTCTGCAGAGAAAATAAAGTTAGAAGTAAGACAGCCCCATATTTTTAGCACAGTAAGCAATTGTATGAGCTCATGTAAGTATTGATTTATAATATTTTAGAAGCTATCAAATAAAAGGACGGTGGTTTATCTTTTTCTGAATCAGGCTTCCAGTTTATTTTTACTGATACTCTGTTAAAATGTGCATTTGCAACTTGGTTTCCTGTACCTCTTCACAATAGAATGATTAGCACTTGATTGAATTGTCAAATTATACAGTGGTTTATTGTATCTTTCTTTGTCTCTAGGATGATTGAGGAAAGTGGGAACAAGCGGAAGACCATGGCAGAGAAGAGGCAGCTGTTCATAGAAATGCGTGAGTCTTGAGTCCTTGTTCGTATGTGCAGGAATGTTTGTGTGTGTGTGTGTGTTTTTTTTTTTAAAATCAAGTCATAGCTTTAATCAGTTACAAGTTTTAAGCTTTAAAGAGGGAAGAATGGGAGCAAAAGAATCATGGAGTTGAAGGACCCCAAGCCAAAGCATATATTTTAATAGAATTGACTTGCTTTCTTAGGCAAGGCCATAAATAATAAGGTAGAAATGTTACCTAGAGTGCCTGTGATTTTGTACCATGCCAGTCAATTTAGATCTCTTGCTGTAACTCCATTGTTACCGTGAGCTTGCAGGTGGTGATTAATACATTATATAAATTACCTTCCACTAGATACCAGTTCTGAGACAGAGAGGACTAAGTCTTAGGGCAACACCTAGAGATATTGGAAAACTAAAAAGAATGAATGTGTATTTTGATATATTTTTAACTTTAAATATTCTGTTAAAAATTACATTGTTTTATACAGTTCAAACAGAGAGAAGAAGATGGCTAAGAGAGGTGGGGTGGTTCCCAATTCTTGCAGGATTGTTTTGCTCTGTGACTGCTTGTCTATGTGACCATGACCATGTGACCTTGACCAACTCAAGGTCGCATCTGCTGGACCTCAAATTCCTTTGCCATGAAATAGGGGATATTGGTCTGGACCAGTGATTACGAAACCTTTCAAAAGTACTGTACTGTTTTTTTCCCAGCGAAATCTTACAGGGACCCTTAACATAAGAGTATTATAAAATTGGTAGTGCTTGGTTGAAGCAGGAGAGGGGAGAAAGGGCCAGCCTGAGATAGCCTCTAAGGTCCTTGCAGAATTCTAGAATTCTGCATATCGCAGTATGAAAATCAGTGGGTAAAAGTCTCCGAAGACCCAACTGTCAACTTATTTGATATCTTTAGGGTCTTGGTAATGGTAGGCAGAGTTTGACTCAGGTAAGCCGTGTGTTGTCCTGTTAGTCATAGGCTGGATAACTATTTGTTAGAGGTGGTAAAGAAGAAATTTCGGCATTGGATAGGTAGCCGAACTGGGTGATCATTAAGGACTTTTGTAGTTCTGAGCTTCTAATGGCTAGTAATCCAAGCCAGACACCTTGGAGTCACTTCCCTCCACCTCACCTTCTACCTCCAAAGAAATCAGAAGGCATCTGAATTTTACTATGTACATGAGTCTGATTCTGTTCATCACACCACAGCAGCTTTGAGTCCAGCTTTGCAGTTAGACTGCTCAGTTTGGGTCTTGGCTGCCTCACTTCCTGACTTAGGCAAGTTAACTTAATCTCTCTGGACCTCTGTTTCCTCATCCATAAAGCTAGAATTGTTGTGAAGATTAAATGAGATAATGTGAATAAAGCACTTGGCACAATGCCTGACACTTACATACGTAAGTATGAAGTAAGTAGTACATACTTAATATGGATGGTTGTATTTATTACTAATTTTTTTTAATTGTTGGTACTTTTCTGAACTAAAGCAATAATTTCCTGATCCCTTTTTCCAGTCTTGACCCTCTCAAATCTGCTGTCTATGATCAGCTACCAGATTGAATTATATACATCTGTGCTACTTTTTTTTTTTTTTTTTTTTTTTGAGAGGGAGTTTCACTCAGCCATCCAGGCGGGAGTGCAGTGGCTCGATCTCGGCTCACTGCAACCTCCACCTCCTGGGTTCAAGTGATTCTCATGCCTCAGCCTCCTGAGTAGCTGGGATTACAGGTGCCCACCACCATGCCTGGCTAATTTTTGTATTTTTAGTAGAGACGGGGTTTCACCGTGTTGGCAGGGCTGGTCTCAAACTCCTGACCTCAAGTGATCCGCCTGTCTTGGCCTCCCAAAGTGCTGGGATTACAGGTGTGAGCCACTGTGCTTGGCCTAAATCTGTGCTGCTACTTTGCTTACATTCCTTTACTTGCTTCTCATCACTTTAATGGGAAGGACCCCACTCCTAAGATTGCCGAACAAGGCCCTTCTGGCCCCTTTTTTGCTCTGCCCAGTAGTTCCCAATTTTTCCATCACATGCCTTGCATGTTACTTCCCAGCAATACTGAATTGGCTTTCCTGCAGATCATGTGGTTTCATGCCTTTGTGCCTTTGCGCAATACCATTGCCTCCACCACCCAGCACACTGCTCCTGCCTGCCCTTCAAAACTCAGCATAGGGGTCATCTTTTCCCTTCAACTTTTAGTGCATTTATTGAGGATCTTCTGTGCTCCAGGCACTATTCTGGGTGCTAGGGCCACAAAGGAGAACAAAACACAGTCCCTGACCTCACTTCATGAAATGTCCATGTTAGTAAAGGGAAGCAGACAAAATAGGAAACCAAATACATAGACACAGTAATTCCTGATACTAAGAAGAGGCTGGGGTGCCTTAAGTAAATATACATGGGCATGCTGGCGTGATGGGGTGGAGATCTGAAGTAGTCCTGCGAAGAACTGGGTTTACTTCGTTGTGAATGTTACTACTCTTACACAGATACCTCATATGAATTATCCTCTGACTTAAGGATAACAGTCAGTCTGGGAGACGTTTGGTGAGTGTGACTTCTTGAGTCTCCTCTATTTCTTCACAGGAGGAATTGCATGGGTGACTATAATATCTGCTGCTGGAAACCCCACCCCCTCATTTCCAGCAATGTCAACCAGAAACTCCAGCATAACTACTTTCTGTGGATGCCAGAATCACCTTTTTCCAGCCATTATTCAGTTGTATCATTTAGTATGTTGATTTTAGTATGTCAATTTTGAATCTAGTACTCTTTCTCAACTCCTATTAGTCTTAATGGTTATAGATTTCTACTTAGGTAGGTAACTGTACCATTTTCTTCTTTTTCTTTGAGACTGTGTCTTGCTCTGTCGCTCAGGCTGGAGTGTGAAGGTATGATCACAGCTCATTGCAGGCTCCATCTCCAAGGCTCAACTGATCCTCCCGCCTCAACCTTCTGGGTATCTGAGACTACAGGCATGTGCCAACAGGCCTGGCTAATTTTCTTGTTTTTTTGTAGCGATGGGTTCACACTATGGTGCCCAGGCTGGCTGGTCGCGAACTCCTGGGCTCAAGTGATCCTCCCACCTCGACCTCCCAAAGCGCTGGGATTACAGGTATGAACTACCGTGCCCGGCCAGTAACTATACCATTTTTAAAGAAAGACAATTTGGACTCTTCCTTTTGTAATTGTAATCCTTATACCCTTTTTTTGACCTAGTGTACTGGTTAGGGCCGCAGATATTATATTGAAAAGTAGGAAGGATGGCTGGGCACGGTGGCTCATGCCTGTAATCCCAGCACTTTGGGAGGCCGAGGTGAGTAGATCATGAGGTCAGGAGTTTGAGACCATCCTGGCTAACATGGTGAAACCCTGTCTCTACTAAAAATACAAAAAAATTACCTGGACGTGCTAGTAGTTGCTATAGTCCCAGCTACTTGGGAGGCTGAGGCAGGAGAATGGCGTGAACCTGGGAGGCGGAGCTTGCAGTGAACGGAGATCACGCCATCGCACTCTAGCCTAGGCAACAGAGCGAGACTCCGACTCAAAAAAAAAAAAAAAAAAGAAAAGTAGGAAGGATAGCAGGGGCATCCTTGTCTTGTTTTTTATTTTCATGGGAATGTTTCTAGTATTTCTATTATTTCTCTATTTCTAATATTTCACTTTTAAGTGTGATGATTGCTACAGGTTAACCTGATAAAGGTGAAGGAAGTAATATGTCCTAATTTGCCAGGAATCATTATCATTATTTTCTTAAGTCATAACTGAATATTGAATTTTTTTTTTTTTTTTTGAGATGGAGTCTTGCTCTGTCGCCCAGGCTGGAGTGCAGTGGTACGATCTCGGCTCACTGCAAGCTCCGCCTCCTGGGTTCATGCCTTTCTCCTGCCTCAGCCTCCTGAGTAGCTGGGACTACAGGAGCCCGCCACCACGCCCCGCTAATTTTTTTGTATTTTTAGTAGAGACGGGGTTTCACTGTGTTAGCCAGGATGGTCTCGATCTCCTGACCTCGTGATCTGCCCGCCTCGGCCTCCCAAAGTGCTGGGATTACAGGCGTGAACCACTGTGCCCAGCCTTGAATATTGGATTTTATCAGATGTTCTCTGCTTCCCTTGAGAGGAATGTATTTCCTCTTCACTCTGTTCATACAGTGCTGGGGCCAGCCATCTTTTTCTTAAAGAGCCAGAAAGTAAATATTTTAGGATTTGCAGGCTGTATGATGAGTTCTTTGTCAAGCTACTCAACTTTGCCATTGTAGCATAAAAGCAGTTGTAATAATTTATTAATTTAAGTAGTTTATGTTTTTTTAACCTTAGCGTTCAGAATATTTCCTTTTGGAGCTCTTTTTGAAAAAAATAATTGTAACGTTTAGATTCAGGGGGTACATGTGCAGGTTTGTTACATAGTTTGTATTTTTCAACCTTGTGTTACCTTTACTGTTATGACTTTATATAATGTCCTTAAGCCTTTATGTTTTTAGACAGTATTTTTACATTTTCTGTTATGAACAGCAATGAAATTAGTTTATTCTTTCTTTGCTTAATATTTTCTCTTTTAGACTCTAAGCAACATGAGAATAAGGATCACATCTGTTTATCATGGTGGTGCCTCGATAAATATTTATTAACAGAAGAATGGAATATATTCCATAGAAATAAATGGGTAGTTTATGATTCTTACATAATCTAAGAAAAATGAAAGGTGACAGGTGAGAAGAGTGATCCTCAACTCTGGTGCTAAAGCGAAAGTTCTCCAGTTGATTTTGCAGAGTACTTGATACCAGGCCTCCAATGCTCAGAGATTCTGATTTTATTTTGTCTTTTCTAAAGTTTGCCAATTTTATTGGCAAAGGACTGACTTTTAGCTTTACTGATCCTCTTTGTATATCTTTGTTCTCTGCCTCATTTGTGCTATTTTCATCTTCCTATTTAGGCAATTCTGTTATTTTTCTAACAACTTATGTTGGGTTACTAAGGCCATTTGTTTTCAGCCTTTTTTTTCTTATGTAA